ACAAAGTGACATTTGATAGTTGGTTGGTATTTTCAGGTGCTGGCATTTTCTGTCATCTTGGAATTAGGGTGCTATTATTACCCTACGTGACATTTCTTGTGTAGCTGAGCAGTTGTAGTATAAGACAAAAGGATGTACGAGAGAGAGCAAGAGGCTGGTGTTCCTTTTGACTGCTGGTGCACCGTGACAGCATTTGTGAGCATTTCGTGTGTGTGTGTGTGCGTGTGTGTGAGACATAGCAAACAGCCGTGAATGCAGTTGTTCCACTCCAGCAGTAATGATCCCCCCTGTGCTACTAGCAGCTCTCTATAAGTCTCATCAATTAACATCCCACGCACACACACACACACAAACACACAACCCTGCTTCTCTTTCACGCAACATTTACAGCAACAATAATTTATTTCCCAAATTCAACTGATTAGTCAGGGGATAGTTGCCAGCAAAGAGACCCCCCTCTCAAATCCTCACTGCGTACACTGTCAAGATTGAAAATAACTTTATTACCACTTTTTAGCCCGTCGACGTTCGTTGCTATTCAGCAGGGACGCAACAAGAAGGCGGGCCCATAGGCTGGTTTCCACAAACAGTACCCTATGGCAAGCCCTCAGGTCTAAATTTAATTTTTCAGCAGATCGCTTTGCAACATTTTGTAGTAAACTGAATCTATTTCAGCCCATTTCACCATTTGTTTTAACTTTCCGCTTTCTTCCTGCCCTCGAGTCGATACGAAACAGTAAAAATTAAATTGCACCACAATCTAGGTCTTGTTCTGGATTTGTGGACGCCCACCACTCAGGTTTCCTCGTCGGTGTCACTGTGAATTACACGTGCCATGCTTCGTTGGGGCTTCACCCAGACTGCTGCTCCGACACTGTCCTCTCTTGCTCTTTTAAATGTCAGAGTTGGTTGTCGGACACGCAAACTCACAACCAGGAAATGAAAGTTCAACCTGCGTAGACTCAAAAGCCAGTTGGATACGTGAAAGCTAGATGGTATCATATACAAGAAACTGTCAGATCATATTATCCCCGTTCTTTACATTTGTGTTTTTGTCAGCTGTTTTTGCGAGCGTGCAGGAGGATGGAGAGGGAAGAAGAAAAAGGTTGTGTTTCACATCCTCCAATTATACCTTCAGAAAGGAGACACGAGGGTTTTTTCAGCGGGGCAGCATGATATTCAAAATAAGGCCTGTGTTAGAGGATGCATTTGCCTCTTTGTTGCAACTGCAAAAAAAGGAAAAACCCTCTGTGATACAGTACACTATCTCTTTGTAAGTGGACACAAGCACAAAGATATCATTGGAAATATACTGATAACAAACACAGAGGAATAAAGAGGGACACTCCACAGACCTGCAGACACCTGCTAAGTAGCTTGTCACACCGGTGAGTAGAGAAAAGGCAAGAGGGTGATGAGTCTCAAACCACAGCCAGCCATCAAAGAAGGCACATTGTGCTCAAAGCAAAACGAGAAAGGGGAGATGGGGAGCTAAAAACGAGGGAGAGAGACAGGCTTTTGTGCGATCCTTGTCTTAATTCAGCAGAGTTTTCAACACAGGTTTTACCTCCTATTGACATTCAAAACATCAGCACTACATAGGCACACACACGCACAAAGACACACACATACACGCACTTGCTCAAATGGCGTAACCTGAGACATTCACTTTCATTAAACCAGCCCAGACAGCATCTGTGTTTCGTATAGGAAAGGCGTTTCATTGAGCCGTGATCTTTGCTTCATGCAGGCGCACACTCAAATGCGCACACACTCTCACTTGCATATCCAAGCACGCATTCAAACACGCCTCTCTGCCTACACTGTAGTTTCTATCGTCAAGGCCAAGGCTTTTGCTCTTAGCGGTTCATTGAGTGTTTTCTTTCTCTTTTAAAAGCAAAAAACCCCGAAAAAAACAAACAAAAAAACGAAGCAAACCAGGAGAAAAATAAGAATCGCTGCACGTGTTCTGTTTAGCTCGGTAATTGCCTCGTGGCACGAGCTCATGAATTCTGTTAGCATGTAGTGGTGTTATCAGATGGCACTATACAGGCCGAAAGGACCAGCGAGCTTCAAAAAATCCAGCGTCAGGTGTAAGGAGAGCATTTACCTGTTGGCGAAATGCAGCAGTGGGACAATATTATGCCCCCGCACCCC